TAATCTTAGCACTTGGGAGGCTGAAAACAGGAGGATCACTACAAGTCTAATCTACATAGTGACACTCTGTAGACCCTGTACTAAATACACCCACACACACAAAAAAATTTGAAACTAATATTAAAACTCCAGTTATGCGAGAGTGCAACAAAAGAGATAAATCACTTATTTATTGCCAAAGCAACTGGACATATACCACATTGTATGTCAATTCCCATGATAAACACTATGCTAAGAAAAGACAGTACTAGAGAACCTCATTTTTAACCATGCCATTTATTAATTTTAAAAGGTTAATACAACTCTGAAACAAAAATAATTTTCAAAAAGTAAAGGAACAAGAATATCATGAGACTATGAAGACCTTTGTGTTTGTATGTGTTTGATTTTATTTCAGGGAGGTTTCAGACCAGGCTCTCCGGAATGCTAAACAACGCAGCCCCTGAGCGCACCAACTTCTTCCTGGAACTTTTTTTCCTGCAATTTTTCTCCTCTTATTTTAGTACTTTCCTTTATACTTGCTTACAGCTGAATGGGAGATGTTTATTATAGATAGAATACATCTGTATATATTTTTTTGCTTTTACATTTCTTTTCCCAGTGTTTGCAAATTCAAGAGAACCAAAAGTATGTGGCTCTAGTCAAAGCAATAAAGATAATATTAGGAGAGTCGTCCTAAAGTACGCATAGTTTCCATAAGTAATTCCTTCATTTTTTCTGAGCAGGCTTAAAATGAAAATCATATGAGAATTATTGACATATTTCTGTTCTACACATGAACCTCAAATTCACTGATCATTTTCATCCTTGAAATGCAGAAAAACGAATTCAGTATATGGACGGAAAGAAGGTAGACTAGAGAAATCAAATATTTTTAACATAATATCTTAATAATGGAGAGAGACAAATATAGACACTCTATGAATTATATACAATGTATTTAAAATATCATTGTAATAGGGTGAACAATTTTAAATTTTGTGTAAGAGGCTGAGTATTTAAAAAGAAAAACATTCATTTTACCCAGATGTGGCGGCACACCCCTGTAATCCCAGCACCTGGGCCACATAGTAAGTTTAAGATCAACCTCATAATACGACCCTGTTTCAAAAATCCAAATAAATATAAATAAATAACACTCATTTTATCTTTAGAAGGAAAAAAAAAGAGCAAGAAGAACTCATATGAAATGATAAAATCAAGATCAGGCTTTACTGATCATCCTCTACTGTATCACCCATGGTGACTGACTGGCAAAATATGGTACCTCACTAACACGCTGGTTCAAAGCTTTCTAAATTGACTGATAAGGGAAAGTGAGGGACGATATGGAGGTAAGAGCAATGCTACATAACCACAAATATTATTTAGTTATTTTCAAATTTCATTCTGCACACACCTAAGAAAGCATTTAGCTCAAATCCATGAATTCTAATTTGCTAACTGCAGGTTGGGTACAAAGTCTGACATCAAAGGACCCAGAGGCAAATAACCCACATTTGCAAACCTGGAACAACACCACAGAGTAGTCTGTGATGCAATTTTTAAAACATCTGTACATGTAAAATTAAGTAAAAAGATAAATAGAAATAGTGTTTCTAAGTAGTCGGACTTTTTGGAGCTTCAATAAACATCTGAATTCTTGTGAGTGAGAAAATAACCACACTGAGTATCTTATAATTACTGTTATGGAATCCTGTCTAGGTTACTTAATCCACCTTTATCTCTAACTCTAAAAACCTCAGACAAGAAAAAGAATAAGATGAAAGGACTTACACTAAATTAGGAAAATAAAGAGCTTCCTTACAATTCTAGTATAGAAAAGCAAATAGGTAAAGGAGGCTAAAAATACACTCCTCTAAGTAACAATAGACATACTCTGATTGGACATAATACTGGTCAGAAGGATTTCTGTAACAATCAAAAAGCTGGCAATATACGGTTTCATAAGATATTCATAATATTTATCAAGACAGAAATGTGAAGTAAAAAGAACTTTTCTCTAAGATCTTAAATACAGTTGTGGATATCTGCATCAAACACAGAATATTTTAGAAATAGAAATTAGCAGGCTTATTTTAAAAGGGAAATTCTCTTTAGTTCATTCATAAACCAGATAAATTTTAAAGTCGAAGAAATGTTTCAAACCATGGGTGTTACAAGTAAACTATTTTATGATGCTCTGTTTAGAACAACTAAAATAAACTGTGTATTTCAACTAACTGAGAGATAGCAATTCTCAGATTTGCTTTATTAATTTCAATGAACCTCTAACACAGAACTGAATAAAGTGACTTCTCTTAAATAAGAGTTTTAGTTGATCTATATATATATAGATATAGACAGATATCTACAGATACCTATGTGTATCTGTAGATATCCACATATATATCTATATAGACATATAGATATATACAGCCTATTTTATGAGTTTTAAAACATTGAGCCTTTTGAGAAAATTGTAACTTTAAGGGAAAAAGAAACAGGTAACAAGCCAAACAACAATAACAATCCTAAAAACATCTTCGTATCTCCCTCAGAGAGATCTAGATTTTGAAAAGTACCTATCTTGGCTCAAGACCGAAAAGAAAAAAAAAAAATTCTCTAAGAACTCATAACTGGGGCTGGCCAAATAGCTCAGTGGATTAAAGCTCCTGCTTAGGCAGATGAAGGGGCCGGAAGTTGGATCCGCTGGCCAGCAGTGCCATCCCCACCCCGGGGACTCGCTGAGACAGCAATTGAAACTGGGCATGGTGGCACACGCCTGTAACCCCCCAGCTCTTGGGAGGCTGTAAACAAGCAGATCACTATTAGTCCGATCTAAGTATTCATAACTGTAAGCCAGCCTGCATAAGTTTAGAGCAGAAATGTATATACTAATAGCCTATGAAAACTCAATCTTTTATTTAAAATAAAAACCCAATCTTTTATTTAAAAATAGTCTTAGATATAGAACCTCAAGTACCTGACAAGAACAAACACAACTGCCTTCTGGAAGAAAGATTTAAATCCTGAACTAAAAGAATTTTCAATGAGGCAGACATTTTAAAAAACATTTTCCAGAAAAAGAAATACAACTTACTACAACTACAAGAACAAATGCTGAAAATCTATAGTACTGAAGGAAATGCAAACTAAAGAACAACAGTTTCCTTCCTTGCCTCCCCTGGAAGCATTTAAACACTGTGGTGAAACAACAGAGACACCATCCCTGCAGGCATGAGTGTGTAGGGTTGTGGGAAACATGTGACACTAGCCAGCAAATGGAGACGCAGAAGCCTAAGTCTCAGGAAATTTATCCTTAGTGTATGTTTCACCTTGCCACAGGGGATGCTTACAAGAACATCTAAAACATGGTTATTAGTAACAGAATATAGAAACTAATTGTCCCTCAGCAGAAAAAAAATCAAACAGTATACAATGATCTAATCTTTCAACAGAAAAGTAAGCACTAGTGAAAATAGATGAGCTACAATTACACAGACCAGTATGCATGAATCAAATCAATGTTATTGGGCAAAATATCAAGTTAAAGCTGAAAAATCTGCTTTCTTTCATATAAAATTCAAACTTCCAAGACTGGATTATATATTCTTTTTGGTTACACAGGTTTGAAATGTAATCATAAAACAGAAAAATAAAAAATGGAAGATGTAAGGCTTAGGTAGAAGGTGACCTCAGAGTTACACAAACAGGGAAGAGACGGCTGAGGATATGCAAGGAATCACCAGAGCTTTGGGAAGTCCTATCTTCTAAGCTGACTGGTAGATATACTCAATGTTCATTATCAATATTATTATTATTATTACTGATACTACCATGCTTTCAACTGAACATATAAGCAGCAAACTCTCAGGAAAAGACAGTATAATTTAGAAAAATACATTTTTAAAAATAACCAATAATAATAGGGGCACGGAGATGGCTCAGTGGAATAAGCGCTTCCCTGGCAAGCGCAGGGGCCTGAGTTCAATTCCCTGGTTCAGCAAAAAAAAAAAACAAAAAAAAAAACTTAAAAAAAAAAAACAATAATAATTATCAGGGGCTGGAGAGATAGCTCAGTAGAATATGTGCTTGCCTGGCAAGCACAAGGTACTGAGTTCTGTCCCTGGTTCAGAAAAAAAAAATAGTAATAATAATAATTATTATCATACATTTCTTTGATTGTATTTGTTTCCCCTCTGCTTTCTCAACCTTGCTACTTTGTAGTCAGAATGTTATTGTAATTATGAAAAGTATGAAATAAATTACCGTGCATTTCTTTGATTGTATTTGTTTCCCCTCTGCTTTCTCAACCTCGCTACTTTGTAGTCAGAATGTTATTGTAATTATGAAAAGTATGAAATAAATTACCGTGTTTCTTACTGGAATCTTCTTGGGCTCTGGGGGCACATCCTGTGGAACAAACTTCACTGGCTCCTTAATCTGCCTCCGGGACCGCTTAGTCCCATCCGGTAAGGTCTCCATGGCCATGTCTGCTTCCATGTCACTGCTGCCAGCCTGGTCGCATTCGGAGCACTGCCTGCATAAATGTGAAGAGGGAAAAGTAAGGTGAAAAGTTTATTATCTTCTAGCTTTCACTATAGTTTCTATAAACACAAAATACATAAATGCACACAGACTCCTCTCAGAATGACCATGAAGAATATATAAAACAACCCAGCCTATTTCTGTAATTATCATAACAATTCATGCAACAATGCCACATGCATGCCTAAACAAATAGCACTAATTTAAAAGGTCACTTCCCTTTGGAAGTAGTAACTTTTCCTTAACTGACATAAGACTATGGCATATGAAAACTGTAATTCTTTGTGATCCTGACTCTATGGCTTGTCACAGTTCTTATATCTTTCTGATAATTATGCCAAGCTCTACTAAAATCACCACTGAAAGAAAACTTTACAGAAAGAAACCCTGGGAATGGTGGCAAACTGGTCATTTCAGTTGGTTGTCCATGCTACCGCTAGAAGAAAAAATATAAAAATTTACCTACTAAAGGAAATTGTTAAAGCAGCATTTGTCAAGAACTTTTTAATATGTAAAGTATTAGATATGAAAACCATTATACTATAATACATAAGAATGTCTGTGTTTATATCAGTATACATGAATGTAACTTTTTTTTTCTTCTTCTGGTGGTACCAGGGACAGAACTCAGGACCTTGCGCTTGCCAGGTAGGTACTTACTCCATGGAGCTATCTCCCTGGCCCATGACTGTAACTTATATTTCAAATATTTTAAAAAATTTATTATGTAATTTGTGGTCTCCAAAATTTTTATCTCCCACCCATTAACACTATAAGCTTAATATCATGCTAGTATTTAATTTTAAAAGTAAAAATCTTTCAATTCTGAGTTCTAACCACAGAGTTAACTATAAAGTATCATTTGCTTTGTTAATGCAAAGACATTAAGTGCTAAAACAGAAACTAACATTTAAAACATCAACTTAGCCAGGGATATTTTACTCAAAAGCACAAGCACCTGCTGGCCAAGCGCAAGGTCCTAAGTTCAAGTTTCAGTATAAAACAAGGACAACAAAAACAAAACCCAGCAATTTAAATCTTTTTGGGGTTAACAAGGGTCATATTATTATTAACTTAAAAAGACAAATCTTGATGAGATATGGTAGAAACACAACACTACCGGTCTAAAATTTAAACATATGAACTAGAGCTATTCTAATAAATCCAGGCTTTCCTATTTTCTTATCTACTTCGAGACTTGCCCTAGAAAGAATCTCAGGCTGGGCGTGGTGGTACACCCCTGTAATGGTGTAACTAAAGAAGTTGAGGCAGGAGGATCTCCACAAGTCCAAGGCCAGCCTGGGCTACACAGTGAATTCAAGGCCAGCCTGGGCTATCTGGCAAGATCTTGTCTTTAAAAAAAAAGGACTGGGAATGCTGCTCAGTGCTGAGGGCCTAGGTTCATTCCCCATATCACTAACTTACGAATCTGACACAGTATTAAGACAATATATTTTAAAATAATAACAAAACTCAACATAAACTGAAATGAAAATATATTTTAAATACTAGGAGGATCAGTGCCAAAAAATAAATAAAATAGAGCCCAGGTTACAATAGCCCCTTTACGTTGGCCAAATCCCTCACCCAACTGATATTCACTTTTTTGCCTATCTTAGCCCAACTTCAGAAGCCCTCTTCTGATCAGCTGAGTATCACTTGGGAAAAATTATCACAGCACTAATTAATTCACAGAACACTGTAGCTGTACAGTCTTAGTAAGTATGTTGTTGCTGGTAATTTTTTTTCACAGTTGCTGTTACAAATGATTTGTTTTCTTCTGAAGCCCCCATTATTATCCCAGTCACACTACATCCATTTCTGAAAAGTCAGAGCTGATCTAACATGAATTCACTCTATTTCCCTGTCCTCCACTAACAATTACATCTGCATCTTTGTCTATCTCTTGTTTCTGTCACATTTCTCAACTCAACCCAGCTGAGCCCAATGGGCACTGTGGGATAGACTAGCAGGAAGCACTCAGATCTACAGCTATCAACTCTATGAGATCAAGGCTGGCACTGGAAAAAGCCAGACAACAAGGACTTAAAACAGTCATCTGAGCAGAGTGTGAAATACGAAAAGGTGAGGGCTGGCGAGACAGCTCAGCGCTCTAAAGCACCAGCTTAGGCAAGTACAAGGACCAGAGTTCGATCCCTAGCACTACATGCCACACCAGTCCTGCCCCCAGGGCAGGCTGAGCAGACCACACCAAAAAAAAAAAAAAAACAGAAAAAGTAAAGTGACATTATAGTAATTCTATCTAACATTAGCAGAATGGAGATTTAGTAAAGTTGAGTGTTAGCATAGTCTCATAGAACACAGAAATAGCAAAAGCAGGAACTGTTAACACTCAGAAATGTATACTAGTTGGGCATGGCGGCACATCCCTGTTGTCTCAGTTACTCTTCTCTCATTGATGAGACAAATATCCAATACTCAAATTAGGGCAGGAAAGGCTTATTTAGCTCACAGCTACTGGAGTTTTCTGTCTATATTCAGCTGGCTCCAAGGCAGACTGACACATGGCAGAGAGCAACCTTTCATGGTGGTAGCAAAGAGTAGAAAAGGGAGGAGCAGCAGCAATCATGGCTATAGAGAGGAAGTCTGTTCCCCTGAAGTAGCATGTAGGCTATTTGCCCCAGGCTCGGAGTGGTATTCACACCCATAATTCTAGCAGCATTCATACCCATAATCCCAGTGGATCATGACTCAATCATAAACTCTAGAAGTCGGCCCTATGACTGCATGAAGCTCTGTGGGACAACAGACACAAACCATAGCACCTACAATCCCAGCACTGGCCAGCCTGGGCTACAAAGTAAGGTCAAGGCCAACCTGAACTGCATAACAAAACCCTGTCTCAACAAAAGAAACAGTATTTGCAGGCAATTAAGCCAAAGATTACAGTTAGAGAGACAGTAACCAAATAAGAGATAAATAACACAACCCTAATAAAGGACTGGCAAGAACTTAGGTAGGGACTACAACAGTGAGTGAGTGATGATATACTAGTAAATGTCTCACCCCTGGCTCTCTGGAGGAAAACCTCCCACTTGTGGCATCTGCCAACTTCCAGTAAGGAACACCTTGGCAATACCAGTTTCAATTGCAAAAATGACATCGTAGAATGTAAAGCAAGGAAAAGACAAGTAGCAGTAGTAGCACTGTACAGTTTTTTTTTTTTT